CAGCCCCAGTTCGCAGCTGGGAAGCTGAAGCCGCCCATAAGGACGACACAGGGCGACTGATCCAGAGATTTCCCGTGATTCCTCATGGATTCATACGTTGGCGTCCTCATCCTGGCTGGGTGATCCATAGCAGACTCCTGCAAGGACGTCCGCTTTATTAGCTTTTCCCCTAATCTTTACGCAGAGGCTCTCAACCATGTCGTCCCCAGCTGCAAGCGCTGTACAGTCCGACCCCTCCTTTACATACAGCGCTGCCCCTCCGCCTCGCCTGCCCTGCCTCTCTCTCCTGAAGAGCCTGGAAGGGTCCGTCACTGCACTCCAGTCACAGGACTCTTCCCAGCAAGTGTCCCTTAGGCCAGCGATGTCGTTGCTCTGGGACCGAGCCGAGGCCTCTAGCTCCTCCTGTCTCTTCCTCGCACCGCGCGCTTGAGCCTACAAACGTTTCAAACGCGCTCCTGTGTCCTCGGCACATCGTGGAGCAGAGCGAAAGCTCTGCGCACCGTTCCTCCAACATTGTCGCGCCATCCCTAGCTTATCACTAGCAGGACTGATTTTACCCCTTCCCCCCTCCAAACCTAGTTTAAAGCTCTTTCAGTCAGCCCCGCTCGCTCGTGAGCAAAAATACTTTTCCCCCCTTGAGAATGGGGGAATCTTGTCAGGCCCCAGCAGGCCTGGTGTCGCGTAGACCATCCCATGGTTGAAAAACTCCAAATTCTGGCAGTGACGCTAGCCTCGGAGCCAGGTGCCGATACGCTGCGTCCGCCTGTGTGTTTCGATGTCATTCCCTCCAGCTGGGAGGACAGAGGAGAATACTACCTGTGCTCCTGACCCCTCTACCAATCTGCCCGAGGCCCTCAAGTCTCTTTTGCTCGCCCTTGGACTTCTCATCTCGACTTCCTTGGTACCCACACGAAAAAGCAAAAGCGGCTAACAGTGAGGGCCGTACAAGGCTCGGAAGTTTCCCGGGAACGCATTCAACCCGAGCCCCAGGGAGGCAGAAGGCTTCCCAAAAAGGCAGGTCTGGTCGGCAGACCGGGGCAGGAGTGAATGAATTCTTTACGGTGCTTTGCCTGGGCGTGTAGCTCGTGCTTTACCTACTGAACTGTCCTCTCTCAACCCGCAAGCTTTCCCACTTTTACCCTTCAGATTCTCTCCACCGTGCCACTGCGGGCAAGGCACTGAGGAGCTGCGTGATGATGCCAAGCTGCCTGCTGGCATTAACCCGCAGCACCTGGGAAGCCAAAGCCCAGTGAATCACTGAGACCAGAGCCCACTGCACCAGCTCTTCTGCAAGATGCTCCCCGACGCCGTGGCAGCTGAGCTGTCAGCACCCTATGCCCGCATTCCCCGACCCAGAGACGCACGGACACTCACGGACACGGCCTTTGTCCAAACAAGAGATTTATTGACACCTTTGCGCACGGTGGATCTCCCGGAGGGAATGGACTCTCTCAGAGAGGGAGGGCGGTCGCTGCCCGCGTGGTAACAGGCATCTCTGTCGCAAGGCTCCTTGCAATGGCCCCGTCGGCTGCATCGGGTCCCACTCCGCAGCGTGTGCTTTTGCTGTGTAGGAAAGCTGGGGCAGCGATTGCCACTGCCAAATGAGGAGCGTGTTCTCCGTGTCCAGCGTGCTCAGTTCCGCAGCACCAGCTCCTCAGGAAGCGTCTAGCATGGGTGCTTTCTCTGTCCAGACTGCAGTCTGAGGCACACAGAGGCACATCAGCGCTGCCTTGTGCTTGGTCCCCGCACAGCTGGAGCTGCCAGGAAGAATTTCTGGGCCCATGTGAAATCGCCACCATGGCCGCGACTGTGAGGGGAAAGGACGATGAACGTCGGCTTTGTAGCCGCTGTAGTCACCACTATCTGCCGCGCTGGGGAGACTGCCTAGAGGAGAACGCTGACACTCTTGACAGAGGGCTGCTGTACAGGGTTTTCCCTTTACTTTCTGTGTCCCGCATTCTTCCCTCTTTTTCCCTGTGGTATGAGGTGGTAGTCTGGTATGAGGTGGTAGTCTGCCATCAGCTGTGAGTCCCGCAAACACAGCTCTGTGCGTGAAGATCTCTTTCAGTGGCCGAGGATCAGCAGTCTTATGAACCGTTCTCGCAGATACTTATACTCAAGCATTGCCTTGTCATGGGCGGCTGGATCCTGCACCAGGTGCTGGAAGAGGTTGAGTGGTTCGGCCGTTTGGAAGGCTGGGGGCAAGACTATCTCCTCAGGCACCCTCTCGTTGCCGAAGAAGAAGTGGTCGAGGCGTTTCTCCTCCAGGCAGCGGTGCAGGTATTGCATGATATCCTCCATCCGCTGCACGAAATGCCTCCTGCGCCAGCCTGACAGGGGTATGGTGGTCAGGAGGTGCATCACAACTGTCTTCAGGGTATAGGTGGAAAAGCCTATGCCCACCAGGATGCGGGCGCAGGCCTGCAGGCATCTGAGGTGGAAGCTGTCATGCGGGACCTGCCTGGCCATATGCCTGAAGAACTTCGCCTCTGCCACAGCGTAGCTCTCTGGCCACGTCGTGCTTGGGGTGAAGATGGCCTCCGTATTCTGGCTGCTCACAAAGATGTCCGAATTGCCTTGCTGCACCCCAAACATCATCTCAATAATGTGGGTTTTGTTGTTGCGTTCTGTCACCTGGAATTTGCAGGAGCGACTAGAGGGCAGCATGGTTAGACGCCATGTGGATGACTGAGGCAAAGCCACCCAGGCTGCTTGCACCAGTTGATAGAACCAGCGGGCAGTTTTCTGCACATCTAGGTAGGAGCCAGTGCAGAGGGTGCGTAGGAGGCTGGGACCCTGATCCCTCCTAAGCTCCTCCTCGGGGTGGTGCAGGAAGCACAGCATCTCTCCTGCCAGCTGCTCCCTCGTGCAGGTGCACTCCAGCTCCACGCGGACGCAGAAGTTCCTTGCTGGCGTCTCCCCCCTGTTGCCCAACTCCAGGTGGAAGGCGTGCCCACGGGGGGGCTTCAGGGGCACGAGCAGGCGGTAGATGATGTCTTCCTCGCGGGGACTCCAACCTTCGAAGGCGCTGCCCACCCCGATGGCGGGTTGCAGCACTGGGAAGAAACTATTTGACAAGATTTCTCTGAAGACAAGGATGAAGGTGCCAAGGAGGTCCTTTACCACCTGACAGTCCATGGCTAGGTTTTGAACTGGCCACTGTATTTGCTCCAAAAAAAGCCTTCCCAGATCATTCTCACTGTCATCTTCTTCTGCCTCCTCTTCCACCTGCTCCCTGTCACTGCTAGAGCTCTCCTCGTCACTGCTGCTGTCCACCTCATGGCTCCTTTTCCTGAGCCACCAGCAGAGCCCGAAGAGCAGGAGCAGGACTCCAGCAACGGCCCAGAACTGCCACTGCTGCAAGGCAGCAAAGAGCAGGGCTCCCCAGGCAAAGCCGCTCTGCTCCTGGGTCCTCTGCTCCAGCTCCTGCGTCCCCTGCTCCAGCTCCTGCAGCATCCGAGTCATCTTCCGGCTGAGATACCACCCACGCAGCCGCATGCGCTCGCGTGTGGCCTCATCCAGCTCATCACCGACCACATGAGCATTCCAGAGGATGCTTTGCACAACCAGGGTGAAGAATTGTCTGGCAGCCATGGCCTGCAGGAGGAGGGAGAGAAGGGGTTCAGT